ACGGTTCATTTGTTTTCAATGAAATTTTCAGGGGTTTTATTCAGTTCTATCCTATTTAAATGGCTTTGTATGGTTTCACTGTCTTCACTGGAACAGAAACAATAGAGCTGCCAATTAGCGGCTGTTAACTGTGAATGATTTATAAAATGTGAATGTTTCAAAGCGCACTGTGTAAAAACTTTTCAATGAAAACACTAATAAACAAGCCATTATGTTCCTGGTAAACAGATGGTATCATAGTACATTATTGTAAACGATAAAACAGGAAAGTTTAAATAAAACTCTTTCAAATGATATACAACTTGATGGGAAAAGTTATATTTTACTCGTGTAATTACAGTAATTAGAGCCAATTAAAAATATAGTCTTCCAACATGCATCTCTACCTTAAGCTGGCTTGAAGTGTATGTGTATCTTCTCTAATAGAAGCAGCATCTCCTTTGTTGCATTGTACCATTTTATTAGAAGCTGCAGCTTCTAATACTGATTTTACAGTAATATTTGTTACATTAGTAATTACTACAAATAATTTGTTGAAAAATTGTAAGTTAAATTTTTTTTTTATATTGTTAAATATTTCTGAAAAGGAACCCCAATTTTGGAGCCAACAGACAAAATTTGAGTAAATTTCCAGTTTTTGATTATTTTGTGATGAAAAGAAAGGAAGTGATGGTAAAAAGGTTACACCCGGACTATACTGTAGCTTCATCACAATGCTTTCAGTGGGCATAAGCTATATACATGCTTAGTTTTTGTTAAATTATGTGCTTACTAATTTGATTACCTAATTTGCATGAATTAACTAATTTATAAGTGTTCTACAGATATCTTGAGTACCACTCATCAAATTTCAATGAAGTTTGGTACATAGGTGCTTCTGGATATTTCACAGATCTGATTACTTCAGGGTTAAAATCCATGTTTATTAATTACCAGCCTTGTATAAATGAGTTCATGTGGCCTCATTAATATACACAAGTGTAACATCTCAAACATTGTTGCAGATAAGGACATGCAACAAGTGCTATAATGGAGGCATTTGCATATCTAATATCATTGTATTATATATGTATATATGGTCAGATGCTGTAGTAATGAATGAAATAAATGCAAACCGTCACCAGCAATGCTTATTTATTTGCTGCTGGTATTTCCTTGCAATGCTACATCAACATACGATGTATACAATTAATTATTTTTAGTCCCTGTTCGGACGTAGTCCGAAAACGGGGACTTGTGTTTTGCCCTGTGTGTGTGTGCGTGCATGCGTGCGTCCGTGATCACCTGTATTCGAACATGCATGGA